TATTGAAAGCGTGCATTACACATTACGATTTCATTTTTCTCATTTCATTTTTGTATAAGTATATACCTTTAGATTTTCGGACTACAGGTCCAAAAACTTCATGTTTCTCTAGTAAATTCAATTTAGGATTGCGTCCCTTTTGTTTGGCCAAACATTATTTCGATCAATATATTTTGACGCATTTATTTCGATTTCTCGCTATTCATAATATGATGCAGTACATCATATGTAGAAGCATTGTCAACAACTTTACTTTTCCTTCTCGATTCTATTTTTTTTTCCCATACTGACATAACTTATTGAAATATCTCTAGTTTCAACATATCAGGTACCTGAACCTCTTTTAATTTTATAATTTGTTATGTCTAAATACTCATCAAGAGTGTAGCCTCCTTAATGAGACCATCTTTATTAATTGCTTCATTTTCATTTGAAGATATTTTTGTATTAAAATCGAACGCTTTAGGCGTGCCATAGATATATCAAATATAATGCTAACAAATTATTATCATAGGACATCAATTCGTGCAAGAGCATTTAAAACTGGTGCGTGAAATATTGTCTATCTCTTTGATCAGTAAATACATCTAAATAAATTATTTTTTGAACTTTTGATTCGAATGATATTTTGTTAGAATTTAGAAAATGATGTATTTTTACATTATTTTTAAAATTTTTAATCTCTCCCCCTGAATGCTAAGAGAATTATCCAATCAATTTGACAATCAATTTTTTTCAGCGTTAAAAAATATCACCCATCTGAGATAATAGTTCAAACTACGTACTTATTCTCAACATTTTTTATTTTTCATCTCAATGCATTGTGGTGCTCAATTTTTACATATATTGTACTATCAAAATAATTAAATGAAGAAATTACAATCTGATCATAAGCTGATTATAATGTGGAGAACTATGCTTTTTTCATAATGCATAATAGAATTTCCTAAATAAAAATGGAAAACACTTTCTCAATTAAATTAATTGGAGGCATTTAACAAACGATAGTGTTAAATCATTTTTTGACATCTCAATTAAAACTTATTAAAATGTTGAGAATTATGCCCACTAGCATTAACAAGACACGATCTTGATTATATAATCTAAAAATTATGCTCATAATTTGAGGAATAATTTTGCAAACTTCAGGTTGCGAACACTATTCAATCATCTAGTATTTGTATCAAATCTATTAGATACAAATAATATTTAGATGACCGATGTGGTGGGTGATGGAGCCCCATATATCACCTTAATTAATTTTTAGAAATATAAAGAGTTCAATCCCTATTTTAGCTAGTGATTTTTAATAATCAATTTTCAATAAAGATAATAAATGATATATAAGAATTCATTTGATTAGAGAATTTTTAATTTCGCATTATTATTAATCCAATGATGGTCCAACTGGTCATGCCAAATAATAAAAACAAAATTGAACTTTTGATTCAATATAAGATATACTTCAATTATTTAATTTCGAAGAATGTGATTAAATATTATATAATCATATAATGATCGATGTCCGCATAACATAAGTTGTATGTTTTCCTTCAAAGATAAGCACAAATTTATAAATTACACATAATATAATCTTTAAAACACGTGCTCTTTCAAAAGCAGTATTACTTGATTATGGCTTCTTTAAGAGCAATATCAATATTCCTCTGAAAATATTGGAATTCTAGTGTTATGCTCTTTAGGAGCAATAATATATTATTATTTGAAATAATAAATTGTATAAGAATTTACTCTTAGAAGTAAACACATAATTTACGTTAAATCGTATTTAAATATGCTTTTCTGGAGCAAGTAAAATCTAATTAAAATATCTGTAAATAATAGTGTGCTACTTCAAGAGCAATAATATCCCTTTTAAAATTAATAATGTTGTGCTTAGTATGTTTTCTAAACAAATATTAATATTTTCAGAGATGTACTTTTTCGAGAGTACTTGATATTTCACTATTGCTTCTTCGGCAATAATTAATCAATACTGTAATTCATGTTTTTCATGAAAGATATTTCAATATTCTTTTGAAATATTGAAAATTATAATTTATGCTCTTCGAGAGCAAATAATATTCTTCTGGAATATTAAAAAAAATATAATTCATGCTCTTCAGGAGTAAGTAATATTTTCCAAGAATATTATTTATAATGTTATACTACTCCAAGAATAACAACAAAATATTCTTTGAGAATATTTATAGATCATATGTTATTGTAATCTAGATCTATATTACTTGCATTCAATAACTCTAATTTAAAATTTTGTTCAATAGAAAAAAAAGAATTAACTAGTATAAATTATAAGAAATTTATCAAGATTTAATTAAACCCAAATGATATTAGTCCATATAAAGGTATTTATAGTAAAATCAAAGTCATAATTGCATTAAATATTATCAGGGAAAACATAGCTAATTAAGATTAGTGAATAATTAGTGTTTAATTAAAATAATTACTGTAAAGATTATTCTTTTATATCATAATTTTACAAAATGAAAATTTGGTGGCAAATAAAAATCATAAATTAATTGCATAATGATTACAAATGAATTAAAAAAACTTACAGTGCAAACAATTTTATTGAAATTCATCCCTTTCTAGTCAAACAACTCAAAACATGTACAATCAATTACCCAAATGTATTTTTCATGTTTTGACCTAATATTGATGGATGTTTCGCTTAAATTCTGAAAATTAAAATTATTAACAAAAACTTCAAACCACATCAAGATCTACTCACAATTTTTAGTATCAAACCAGTCCTATTTCAAAATCCAAATCATAACACAACAATAATTTCTCACACATACGTGTATGCATATACACTTACATCTATAAATATTGTGATGAGGAAGAAAAATAATTATCTAAAAGGAAAAGTTTCCCCTATTTCTTTCTCTAGGAGAGCACTCTCTGTTTGTATGGGCCATTAAACTTGTCAACCCTTGGTGTTGCTTTGGTCTGGTTTTCGACAATGGATGGAAACATGTCAAATTTGATCAAATCTGACGACAAGCAAAGGTAGATGGACGTAGATAGTGATAATAGAAACGATTAGATTGTGATGGCAAGGGCAAGAACTGGAAGATAGGTGAGAACGAGTGGCAATTGGATCTTTTTTTTTTGAAAGAAAATTTTGAGTTATATAAAATAATTAGACTATCATGCTAATAACGTGTTATAAAACTAAATGGAAGAGATAAAATAAGAGAAGAAATAGAGAGTCAAAACTCAATTGTGTATTATTATGAATCAATGCCCTATATTTATAGGGTTCAAAATTAGAGTTACAATTGAAATAAAATAGATCTTCTAAACTAGATTAGACTTATTCATGTATCATAATAACACTAAGCCCCTGTTTGATTCCCATTACTTGGTAATGAAAATGGGTAGAATAGTATTTTTTTTAAAAATGAGTGGTTGAAAAAGAGGGAATTTTTTTTGATTTACGTGTAATATTATTTTATGAAAGATTGTATGGTTGAAAATATGAGAGAAAAAAATAGAATGTAACGTAATGTAATTTAATGGAGGCCAAACGGGGGGTAAATAATCATAAATAATTATCTCATTATTTTGCAACAGAAACCATATATATATTATTTTGCTAAATATATATATATTATCGTCCCCTCAAGCTCACGTGCTAAAGCTAGAAACAGCAAGAATTAGTCATGCAGAGAATGAAAATGATGAATTGGATGTGACTTAGTGAAAAAGTCAGCAGATAATATATATAACATATACTTAGCATAATATATATATTTAATTTCCTTATTATTTTAGTTTCCTAATTTTATAGGTTTTCTTGTAATATATAAAACTGAGTTAGTTCATTAATTGTTCACCCTAATTTTGGTGGCTCAATAGAAAATTAGGGTGTTCGATTGTTTTTTATAACATAAGTTGTTTGAGAATGGATAGGATAAAAGGATCGACTTCAACACATATGCTTTGGCTTTGATGCCATGAAAATAATACGAGCTAATTTGATAAACAAAAAAAGAAGAAGAATAATTAAGAGGCGCAGAAGACATATTATTAAGCAACCAAAATTAGGTAAACAATGAGTCAAATTAGTTTATATATTACAAGAAAACCTACAAAATTAGGAAACTAAAATAATAAGGAAACTAAATGTATATTATATAGAAATTTGTATCAGCTTGTGTATGATTACTTTGTGGAATTGCTCTTCGTAGAATTTGAATCAGTACTTAGAAATTTCTGCGTGAAATGGATACTGTAGTCTTTAAACCGGTATTTGCTTTCACTTTTGCCTTATAGAATTGAATTTGTTGATAAAATTGACCCTGAACTCACCTCGAAGTACTCTTCCACTTTACCGGAAAATAAGATTCTTACGAAATCCTGAGGTTAAGGGACAATGTATATTTTTGCGACCTAGGATAAGTTACTCTTTGTCATTTAATATGTTATTTGATTGGTTTGCAGGACTTGCTTTTGGCTTTATGTTATAACTTGAAATTACGAGTACTTGCTTGGTCTTTTTTGTGTGTTGTGCATTCTTGATTAAAGTAAAACATTAATGACAATTCACAGATTTGATTTTGAAGTTCAATTTTTTAATGCAAAAACTGTATTTCTCTATTTGAAAACAACAAAATGTTTCAAAAGTCATATATGACACTTTGTCAAATGATCAAAAGAAAGAGTACGATACTTCTACTATTTGGGGTCCAAAGTTGTTATAAAAAATTTTGATTTGAACCCTCATAAAAGCATTGCTTTGAGGGAAAATTTTAGCGTCGTGGTTGAAAGAATGTCACATTGCAGTACATCATTGGCTAGTTTAAAAAAAATAAAATAAAATTCCACCAATCATTCACTGCCACCAATGCATCTGTCATCCAAGGTGGTAAATTCATCTAGCAAGAAAGCATTATTCTTCTCAAATAAACAAACTCAAGGTGAGTCATATGTTTCACAAAGAACAATAAGAACATAAGTTTCTCACTAAATTGAACTTCACCTGGCCCTGGCAGGCTATTAAGATATTTGTTGCTCGAAAGGTTTACAAATTAACCTAACATATAAAATGACAAACTAAGACAACTTTTCTTCTTCCTCATTTTCTACATTTTTTTCCTCTGTTGTTTCAGCTTTTCGTTCTTTGTTCTTCCCCCATAAAATGCCATAAAGACCAATTACCAGCATTATAGCTCCACAGACACTGCAAGTGATAGCAACATAAAATATCAGTAAAGAGAATTGAAGACTAGAATGTGTGAACAAAAACATAGGATAGAGGATTATGTTTGGTAGGTAATATTAAAGAACACGAGATACGAATTTAACTTTTTTCACTTTCTCCAAGCAATATAATATTATTGAACTCTATAATAAATACAAATTTAGCTTTTTTTTATTAGTATTGTTTACTATCGAATTTTGCCAAACATACGACGAGTATACCTTCCCCAATAAAGAGTCTCCTTGAACAATATTGCTGAGAAAATTGCTGTAATGATAAGTGCCAATGGACTGAACGCAGCTGTGAATACATGCCCTTTCTTCTGAACAACCCAAAATTGCAACCAATAAGTTAATCCAGTGACAATAACACCCTATAAATTTTGACAAGAAAATGAAAAAGTTTATGTTATTTGATGAACACTGATAACAAAGTAAAAGTTATTTTTCAAACATATTTTAAACATGTTGCTTCTTATATTTTGAAGTAAAAAAATTTAATTTCATGATTTTAAAAGTAAATAAACTTACACAGTAGCATACTGAAAGGAGCCTAAGATTCCATCCTAGTTTCCACGGTTCTGCGATTCTTTCTTTCACTACAGCAAATATTGCTGACGATATACGGCTGAAAAAACATTGCAGGGCTGTAAGCCGTAGTTTCGTGGGGTACTGCCTGATTAGGGGACCCTAATAAATGACAAATAATCAGATCAAAGGTTAAAAAATTTGTAAAAAAATAAACTAAAATAAAATAAGTACAGATTTGTTGAAGACATAAATTCAAGTACATTTTGTCCAGCTTAAGCTTTCAAGTTAATGTAGAGGAAACAAACTTTGTTGCCATCTATTTATAAAAATTCTATTTATGTCGGGCGATGAAAATAAATTCCGACATAAATAAATTATGCATCAAGACGTAATTTAAGTTAATAACTTCGTGGGGTACCTGCATATTTAGCCACAAAGACCATGTTACATTGGCTGCAAAAATGAGAAGAGAACCCTTTAACCAATCAGCTTTCGAATGATGCTTTTCAGATAGGTCATTTGAGGTTTTTGTTTTGTTTTCTGTTGGGTTGTGTGCCCATATAGTATAGTTTTGCTGATGTAAAAAAAAAATAACAATATTTTTATTGAATAAAATTATGTTTAATTTATTTTTTGCATTTATTTATCATTGAGCATACGAAATTAAAGTGCCTATGATCACTTGTGATAATATGAGTTGAGTACTTGCGTTGAGAAGTACAGTGTGATACAATTTATATTTTGATCATAAATAATTTGTTCACAATCTACATATAAGGGTTGGCACCTTATATTGGAAGGTTGTAGTGTTGACCAATTCACTATTCGGGTTTGTGATTTGTCCTTATCACAGAAATAGTAAAAGGTGACACTAGTACACTTGGAGTGTATTGAACGGACCACGTGTTGAATTTAATTCTATAGCATGACCGTGCGGAGAATTAAATTTCACTAGACCGCTGTGTATTTCATCTAAATCCCTTGACAGGATTATGTATATCTTTTCGTAATTTTAATTGTTCTTTGATTCATCAATGGGTGAGATTAATTTGATTGGTCAAATATTTCGATGAGTTAAGAACTTGAGAATGAGCGGAGTAGAGAACATGAATTCGTGTCGGGAACCGTCGCCCAGATGGTAGAGTGACTACTTAAATATTTTCTGTTGAACGGTTAAAATCTGAGCTCAATGTTTAGCAACGGCGAAATTTCGACATCTGTGATTAGTTCACAGGACCGTTGAAGAAAATGAAATTTAAATTAGTGAGAATAATTAGAGGGACAAAACGGTCATTTATGCTCGTACCTAATTATCGGATCTCGAACGGGGATAAAATACATATACAGTAGGTTAGAGGAAAGTATTACAGATTTAATGGCTTCTGTGATCTTATATATTCCAAGAATTCAGTCTTTTGCCTTTAGTGGAAAAAACAAAGATTAATAATTAGATTGGGTGGTCTAGGGTCGACTAGACATGATCTAATTATTGGAGTTTGGATAATATATGTCCGATCAGGTCCCTGTGGTAGCTCCATAAAGTATTGGAACTTAATTACGGTAATTATAATAGTTTTGAACTTAATTATAATTACAATAAAGTTTTGTACTTAATTGTAATTACTATGAAAGTTATAAATTTAATTGTAATTGTAATTGAAGTTCTAGGACTACACATATAATTAATGTAAACTAATTGGAATTGGACTTAAATTAGAACTCCTCTTGAGTTTTAATTAGGAATCCTATTTGAATGTGGAATTGTAATTGTACCAGGATTGTATCATCTTTTTCTCTATAAATAGAGACTAGATGAATGAAAAAAGACTACAACAATTATAATTCCATAGAATTCAAATTTAGAGAGAGAAATATTTTATTTCTTGATTTCCAATTTCAAGAATTAGTTTCTTGATTAATTAAAAGAAGGTGCCCACACGCCGGTGTAGTTTTTTCGTTGGAGAATACTATAGAAGGCTTGAAGGTTTGAAGCACCAAGATTCTTGCAATTGAAAGAGACGGAAGTTCGTGGTTCAGAATCAATTCAAAGGTGGATCTTCGAATTTGGGTAAAATATTCAAATCCTTTAATTCTTGTTATAACATACACGTGAACATCTAAACGGTCTTGTTTTTGAATTAAAGAAATTTTAATTTCTGATTAATTCTGCTTCCGCATTCCAACAACTGGGATCAGAGCAATCTAGATCGTTCACGTGCTTGTTATTTCTGAATCTTGATTGCATGTTCTAGTCGAGCGATGTCTAGGAATATTTTATTTTGTGATGATTGAATGATTGGATTATTTTAAATTGTGAACCAATTATTTGTGGCCAATCCTTGATTGTAATTTGATATTTTGAGTCTGTAACAAGATAGGTGGATTACGACTACATCATCTTGATTTAATTTTCTGTTCAATTAGATTCAAAATTGTGAGCCTACGGGACATAGGAATTATGTAATTCTTGTATTTTGGTTCTTGTAAATTGAAAGAGAATTGAAGACTGAAGATCGGTGGATGAGCATAGAAGATTACGGTAGAATAAAAAAAAAAATGGAAGGGCGCCTGGAATTCAATCTGTGCACTGCTTCCCATGTAATTTTCTATTTGATGGATCTATTAATTGTTGAAACTAAGAAAACATTCTGGGGTAGTGGAATTTTTTTTTTAATATAGATGTATTAATTATGAAACCAAGGAGACAATTGAAGAGTGACCACCTGCCTGGAGTTTGCAGAATGTGTACTTTGCAATTGAATTATCAAAACTTGCATCTGTGATGTGACGTAAACTTCCTTTTTTCGAATTTAGTAATGCCATTCAATGTTGATTGATTTAATTGATGGCGTTAAATCCGTACTGCCATTTTGACTGTTACTTTGGTATCGGATCTGTATGGTGGCGAGCCGACGAGGTTCAGTTGCTGTTTTGGGTTGCTGCTATTGGATGCTCGAAGTTTTTGGAGTTCAAGATTTAGATTAAATATTGGATTTAGATCCAATTAGTTTTTAATTTTATTCTTAAGTCGTGAGCCACAAATAATTGTTATTTTTATCGCTCATAAATGCTTTAAATTTTTGAAATATTGTCATTCTAGATATGATGACATATAGATTTATTTGTGACATCGCTCGTGATACTATGAATAGGATGTATTTCATTAAACACAGATTTTTCTTTGATTGATTTAATTTAAATTAAATTTTTCTGAATTGAAAAATCATAATAAGTAGGCTGTATATTAATTTGATTTAAAAATTTTCTTGAATAATTTAATTTAGATTAAATTTTTCTGGAGAAAAATTTTATATATTAATTAATATGGACAGTTGGTAACATTTTTAATAAAAATCCATTATTTTAAAAGATTGAGTGGGAGAGGGTGTTTATTTAAATAAAAACCCACGGTCTCCTTTGGTCAATCCATAAGCAAAGTAACGCGCTTGCCTCGTATCGGTAATGCAACGGACTCCCTATAGGAGGGCCGCGTGGTTCGACTTGCTTGATTGGATTTCTTTATGATAAGATCGTCTAAATAGAATATAATTTGTGATCATCCTATAGGAGGGCCGCGTGGTTCGACTTTACTATTCAAAAACTCATTCTTTACTCCCCCAACCCATCCCACAAAAAAAAATAATAATAATAATAATAAAGGATTGTCAAACAGGGGCTAATAACAAAAATGAAATAAGAAGGGAAAAAAACCCGGCACAAATATATTGATGTTTATTGTAAGGAACTTTGATATTTGTACACTAATTTTTGACACTTTCGTTGACACTTGCATTGTTGTCAAGTATCAATTGAATGAAAAAACTGTTTGAAATTTAAATTGTTCAATAAGATAATAATACGTGATAAAGTATAAAATAAATTGTACACTATAGTGTACATGTAACAAGATTCTTATTGTAAAGTCAACTTCAATACGACACAGTCACTTGAGACAGTCTAGGAACATAGAAATAAAGAAAATTGATCTTGAACGTACCCCAACGAAGAAACCAAGAAAATTTTGCCGAGTAGAATAAATGAATGTGAAGGAGCTTTCCCACTTCTGATTCAGAAAAGGAGGGCCGTTAATTACTTGAATCAAGAACAGCGAAAACTAACTGTTCTAAAAAAATTAGGGTTCTAGAAAGAATACATATTAATAGATGAAAAGTTCGAATAAAGATTAAAACCTCTCCATGAAAAAGGCAACAGGGGCTAATGCCACTGAAGCGAATGCTTGGCGATAAACCACAAACACATAAGGATTCATATCTTGAGTGATTGACGCCTTAGAAAACAAAGCCATGCCAGCATATATAAACTGTATGGAGATCATTATGATATATAGTTTATTTTTCTCCATATTCATTCCACAGCATGGTAAAGACACCATAATGGAATGCTCCCTCTTTCTATTTTGTTTGTATGGAAATTCAGACATGGGGAATTTCCTCAATTTATAAAGAAATGTAGAACTAGATTCTACTTGGGGTTATTTTTCATTGGAATATGTTTGCAACCATGATTTGCCGGATTAAAGTTTCAAGGTGGGGTTGACGCATAAATTATTAACGCTTAATAAAGATTAAAGATGGCATCTGATCGACTGAGACAAAGCTAAGTAAGAAAAGCACTTTTTCAGATTTATTACGCCTTCACTGGAAGGCTCAAGAATGGCCAAGTGGCAGCCACTTCACAAGGAAACCTAGGCACGCACTTCGCATCATCATCCTACTTGGCCTAATTGAAGCCCTTTGTAGTCGAGGTGATGAACTCGCCGAAGCCCCATGAAAGAAGTGATGCAGCGTCAATCAGATGATCATGCCCTCTAAACAAATAGGATACACTTTCTAAAATATCTGCACAAATCTTCTATGATTGATTGACTCTGCAGCCGGCACTTCACTAAGTCAACTTGGCTAAGTTTAGTGCTCGTTATGGTAGTGCTTGTTATATATTTATACCATAAATATAAAATGTGAAAAAAATAATCAAATCAGATAAAGTGTCAAAGTGGTGAGAAATATGGCATCTGTGTGGGACGTCAGGGGTTCGAGTCACTCCTCACGCAGATATTAAAATGTTTTGATTTGGGGCCTTGGGCTTCTTCCTTGACTAAAATAAATAATTTTTATTATTATTATTTAATGGGTAAAATTGGTCAGTATTTTCTGACTGTTTGTTTTTGTAACAATCCACTAACAGTCATTAAAATACCCACTACTCAGTCATTAAAATTCTGAATTAATATCTGATCATGGTAGAGACTGTTACTTCTATCCTGCCTATATAAACCCATATCTCGTTTTGGGAAAAACACACAAAAAAGAAAATAGAAAAATCCTCTTGTATCAATCCTTCATTTTCATATTTTGATTTTCTTATACTCGGGTTTTTACATATATTTTGGAGTACAATTGAGAGTTCTGAAAAAATCATTCGTGATTGCTGCACAAGTGGTTTACGATCATTGTATCCTGGGAGTGATTGTCCACGGAGGTAGCAGTAATTATCGACGGGCAATTTCACTTTAGGAAATCGTGCTGTCACGAGACTCGATCGGACGATAAGTCTTATATATTTCTACATTTTATTGTTCTGAATATTACTGCAACTAGTTATTATTCCAACAATCTAAAGTGAAATTATCTTTATAATTAGTTGCCATGTCTGCTGTAGAGATATCTGTTCCTAAGTATTCTGAAAAACCTGAGTTGTTTGATGGAAATAATTTTAAGAGATGGCAAATGAAATTACGATTTTATTTGACAACACTTAAAGTCGTTGATGCTATTGAATCAGATAAACCCGATTTTGTAATTGCTGATAATCCCACTGAGAAGGAAACAGAGGATTTAGCTTATTGGGAACATAAGGATTATATGTGCAGGAATTATATTCTGAATTGTTTAACGTTAGATCTATATGATGTTTACTACTTGTGTAAATCTACAAAAGAGTTATGGAATTCATTAGAAAAGAAATATGCTATAGAAGATGCTGGAACCAAGAAATTTGTTGTGGGAAAGTTTTTAGATTTTAAAATGAATGATGTTAAAACTGTGGTCAGTCAAATTGAAGAATTGCAGATTATAATTCACGAAATTATTGTTGAAGGATATAAAATCTGTGAGGGCTTTTAAGTGTCAGCTATAATTGAAAAATTGCCACCTTCTTGGAAAGAATATAAAAATAGTTTGAAGCATAAGAGAAAAGTAATGTCCTTAGAGGATCTGATTATCAGGATTAGAATTGAGGAGGACAATAGAATGGCAGAACGTAAAGAAAGGCCAGACTTTGATACCAAGGCTAATCTTATTGAAGGAAGTTCTGGAAGTAAGAAACCAGTTGGAAATTTAATAAGGGGTCAGAATTTTAAAGGCAGAAATAAGGGAAAACAATTTGTAGGAAAGAACAATCGGTCTAAACCCCAGTTTAAGATTAAAATTGTTGGTGACTGTTTTGTTTGTGGTAAACTAGATCACCTTGCAAAGGATTGCAGAAATAGGAAAGGAAAAGTTGTGAAGCATCAGACACATGTGGTAGAGGATGGAAATTTCTGTGCTATGGTGACAGAAGTGAATCTAGAAGCAACACGACAGACTAATGGGTAGATTCTGGAGCTACCAAGCATATTTGCTGCACGAGAGGTGCATTTTCTTCATTCACTCCCCACTAGTGATGGAGAATGTCTGTTCATGGAGAATGCTTCCTCCTCCAAAATCGAGGGGAAAGAAACTGTGACGCTTAGATTTATTTCTGAAAATATCCTTAATTTGAAGGATGTCTTTTATGTACCTCGTATTAGGAAAAATTTAATGTCTGGATCTATCTTAGTCAAAAAAGGGTTTTAAGATTATATTTGAAAGTGGTCAAATTGTACTGTCTAAGGGTGGTTCCTTTGTTGGGAAAGGGTATGCAGATGAGAGTCCGTTTAAACTCAATGTCTCTGTGATTAACAATAAAGCATCTAGCTCTTCCGTTTACTTGTTGGATTCTTATGATTTGAGGCATGCTAGATTTGGACACGTTAATAAAACTTCTATTAAAAAATTAATGACTTTGGGAAACATTCCCAAAATTGATAATTGTCCAAATTTAAAATGTGAAACGTGTGTTGAATCTAAATATTCTAGAAAACCATTTTCTCGTGTTGATACGACTACTTCGGTCTTAAGTTTGATACATTCTGATTTATGTGATTTAAAAGGATATGTTACTCGTGGTGGAAATAAATATTTCTTAACTTTCATTGATGATTATTCTCGATATTGTTATATTTATCTACTTAAGAGCAAGGATGAAAGCTATTCAAAATTTATTTCCTATAAAACTAAAGTAGAAAATTAGCTAGACCAAACTTTAAAGTTTTAAGATTTGATAGGGGAGGAGAATATACAGGAGATTTTGATAAATTTTGTGTTGAGAATGGTATTATTCATGAGACTACTCCACCTTATTCTCCACAATCTAATGGTGTAGCTGAAAGGAAAAATCGAACCCTTAAGGATATGGTCATATCAATGCTAAGCTCTTCTGGATTACCTTTTAATATGTGGGGGGAAGCACTTCTTACTGCATGTTATATTCTTAACAGAATTCCTAGTAAAAAAAACAATAAGTCTCCTTATGAAATGTGGAAGGGCAGAACACCTTTATATAAATATCTTAAAGTGTGGGGGTGTTTAGCTAAAGCTTCTATTCCAGCACCTAAGAGAACTAAACTTAGTCCGAAAATTGTTGATTGTGTTTTTATAGGCTATGCTTTTCATAGTAATGCTTACAGATTTTTAGTCATTGACTCTAAAAATAATTTGATTGAAAAGAACACAATATTTGAAACTAGAGATACTGAATTTTTTGAAAATAGATTTCCGTTTAAAGAAAAGTCTGAAGGATCAAGCAGTTCTTTTAGTATTTCTCCTAGTGTTAGAGAGGAGCCATCTGAATTAGAAGAAGCTGAAATTAGGATAAGCAAAAGACCTAGGACCACTACTTCTTTCGGTCCTGACTTTATAACCTACTTAGTAGAGGATGATCCTAATACTTTTGGTGAAGCTATGTTTTCACTAGATTCTATATTTTGGAAAGAAGCTGTAAATAGTGAATATGATTCAATTGTGTCTAATAATACTTGGGAGTTAGTGGACTTACCTCAAGGATGTAAGACAATTGGGTGTAGATGGTTGTTTAAGGAAAAACTTAAACCTGATGGTTCAATTGATAAGTATAAAGCAAGACTTGTAGCTAAAGGCTATAAACAAAAAGAAGGGGTTGACTTCTTTGATACTTATTCACCCGTTACTAGGATTACCTCTATTAGGATGTTAATTACAATTGTCTCACTATATGATCTTATTATACATCAAATGGATGTCAAGACTGCATTTTTAAATGGAGACTTAGAAGAAGAGATTTATATGGATCAGCCTGAAAGATTTGTTGTAGAAGGCTTTGAGGATAAAATATGTAGATTTAAAAAATCCCTTTATGGCCTTAAACAAGCTCCTAAGCAATGACACAAAAAATTTGATACAGTTTTGACATCAAATGGTTATGTGATAAATGAAGCAGATAAATGCATATATAACAAATTTGAAAATAATTGTGGTCTGATAATTTGCTTATATATTGATGATATGCTGATTATGGGAACTAGTTTAGATGTGGTTAATAAAACTAAATAGTTTCTGAACAAGCGCTTTGAAATGAAAGATTTGGGTGTTACTGATGTTATTCTAGGAATCAAATCCGAAGGAATTATTTTGACCCAATCACTTTATGTAGAAAAGGTGCTTAAGAAGTTTAATCAATACAACTGTATTCCTGCTAAAACACCTTATGATGCAAGCCGTCATTTGAGAAAACATTCAGGTCCTAGTGTTTCCGCTTTAGAGTATGCTAAAGTAATCGACAGTCTCATGTAACTCATGAACTGTACAAGACCTGATATAGCATATGCTGTCGGTAGACTTAGCAAGTATACTAGTAATCCTAACAATGAACATTGGGATGCTCTCATTCGAGTCTTGAGGTATTTGAGATATACTCTAGACTGGGGAATACATTATACCAAATTCCCTGCTATACTTGAAGGATATTGTGATGCTAATTAGATTTTCGATACCAATAAAAGTAAATCTACAAGTGGATATGTATTTACATTAGCAGGCGGTGCTGTCTCCTGGAAATCCACTAAGCAGACCTGCGTTGCTAGATCTACTATGGAATCTGAGTTCATAGCTTTAGATAAGGTAGGTGAGGAGGCTGAATGGTTAAGGAATTTTCTTATGGATGTTCCTTTGTGGTCTAAACCATTTCCAACTATTTCAATACGTTGTGACAGTCAAGCAGCTATCTCAAGAGCTCAAAATTCATCCTACAATGGGAAGTCTAGACATATTCATAGGAGGCACAATACTGTGCGTCAGCTGCTTAAGGATGGGATTATAGCTATTGACTATGTGAAGTCAAGTGATAACATTGCTGACCCATTAACCAAAGGATTGGCTAGAGAGCTAATTCAACAAACATCGAGGGGGATGGGGTTAAAGCCTATTGTTTATTAGATCACCTATAATGGAAACCCAACCTTGCAATTGAAGATCCCATGGTCAGGGTTCAATGGGACAACAAAGTTATTGGAGTGGTCTGTGGGGGTACTACATTGGATTTATTCCAAACCCCTCCCTATGATGCGTAGTACCAACTGTATTGATTAGAGGATGAGCTAATGCTCTTAATGCTTACTATAGCTGATATTTAGTAGGGTGTTTAAATACAGTGCACCCTTGATAGTAGCACCTATTTGAGTGTGGAAGTGGGGCCGCTTCCTATGAGAATTGAGCCGAATTCTCCAGAGCACTCAAAGAAACTGGGAAAGTTCACGGCCGAAATGAACACAGCCGTGAGAACTCAATGACTGTTCTAGAAATCATGTGTGTATTCTATTGTCTCAGTTTGCAACTATAATTGTAGAGTTCAAGACATAGTTCACTCTCCAGTTAGTAAGCTCGATAGAATATACAAAGCCAAGGTTCAAGTCGATAGAAATCTAAGCCTGCTTGATTTCTACCGTACTTTAGAGTAATATTTTCATTTATCTTATTTCTTTCATGTAGGGGATTGTTATATATTTATACCATAAATATAAAATGTGAAAGAAATAATCAAATTAGATAAAGTGCCAAAGTGGTGGGAAATGTGGCATCTGTGTGGCACGTCAGGGGTTCGAGTCACTCTCCACGCAGATATTAAAATGTCTTAATTTGGGGCCTTGGGCTTCTTCCTTGACTAAAATAAATAATTTTTTTATTATTATTTAATGGGTAAAACTAGCCAGTATTTTCTGACTGTTTGTTTTTGTAACAATTCACTAACAGTCATAAAAATACCCACTACCCAGTCATTAAAATTTTGAATTAATCTCTGATCATGGTGGAGACTGTTACTTATATCCTGTCTATATAAACCCATATCTCGTTTTGGGAAAAACACACACAGAAAGAAAATAGAAAAATCCTCTTGTATCAGTTCATCATTTTCATATTCTGATTTACTTATACTTGGATTTTTACATATATTTTGGAGTACAATTGAGAGTTCTGGAAAAACCATTCGTAATTGCTGCACAAGTGGTTTACGATCGTTGTATCCTGGGAGTGATTGTCCACGGAGGTCGCAGAAATTATCGACGGGCAATTTCATTTTAGGACATCGTGCTATCATGAGACTCGATCGGACGATAAGTCTTATATATTTTTGCATTTTATTGTTCTAAATATTACTGCAACTAGTTATTATTCCAACAGTCCTAGTCAGCAACATTAAATGCAAGTGAGCCTATGAGTGCAGAAATGATCCCTACGATAAGGAACCTCGGCCACTGCGATGAGGTCACATGCCTCTTCATTCAACGATGCCTATCATTTCTCTCTTTCCATTGTACAAGCTCACACTCAATACGAAAGCAATACAATTTTATACACGCAACTATAACATTGCTCCCTCTCATTTCACTCTACAAACTGGTTCTATATTGATCCTTATCTTTTAAAACTCTTGTGACTCACATTCATAACACATCTTGCGTATGCCCAAACGTTCATATAAGCTGACTAATTTGATCGTCGAAGTGTATGCGATCAACCTCCCCGAACTTCGGAGAAGGCCACGTATTACTAACTATTTTTTGCAGTGTGCAGGCAACAGGCAACAGGCTACGTGAGCATAAGTGATGCAGGGATCTCTTGGCCACGTCACGCAGAAATCGAAGTCAACAAAATTAAATCATTTTAAGATTTCATGAACAAAATCATGAATTCTTCTATAGTTCTAAGTCCTCAATGTATTTAGATTTACGTTATTAAATTTGTTTTCGAGATACACTTTACATGAAAGTTGGATTCATTAATTTTGCGTCGGAAGAATGGTATGTGCATCGTTTTCATTAACAAGTTGTAGAACATTTGAACAGTTTTTTAGTTGCTAAGATATTAAGTCGAACTTTCTTATCTAAAAAGTTTAACTTTTAAAGATATACTTATAATATTTAGTTTTCAACATGTCTAATAGCATAAAAAGCATTTGACATTGTCTTTTAATCCAAGTAATGAAAATAACCATTGCAATTTGTGCTTCACAAACACAAGTAGACCCATTGATTATTCAAGAAAAAGAAAGACAGCGACTGAATAAGTTAATATGTTTGAAAAGTTCGATGAAGCATATTTAGGTGTAAAGATATCCCACTTCACTCAAGATTGCGTGCTCTAGAAGTCTACCAGATGACACTGCAAAATAAAGTACCTTTTCGAGTTTCATGTCTCGACAGAAACTCTTCTGTCCAAAAATATAAAATGAGCAAGATCGGCCTCTCCATCAGTTTAGACTCACAAAATTGATTTAATGACCAATGGTATAAACATTGAATTGCATGGAATGAAAATGGTAAATAAATGGGATACAACACAATACAGATAAACATTATTTCTGAAAAGTATAGGACATGAAACGTCGTGGAAACATTATAAAAGAATTATTAACTTATTTTTATAAATACAATATTTAACTTCAAAAAACTATTTGATATAAATTAAATCACAAAAAGATCACAATCAACTAATCTAACTAAAATCTTAACATATAATATTGTCATCTTAAATGAAATATGGTGGGAGGTAACACAACTCCTCCACGAAATTGAAAAATTTACTAGCCAACACTAGGATTGGAAGATACAACAATCTAGATTTATATTAAATACAACAATCTAACTACAAATTCAACATATAATATTGTCATCTTAAATGAAATAGGGTGGGAAGTAACGAATAACTTCTTCACGAAATTGATAAATTTACTATGGACAACCAACGCTAGTATTAAAAAATCTAAATTTATGTTAAAATGTAACATTACAACTCTTTTAGTATAATAATTGCGTCCCATAATTCGAGTTAATTTTAAGCCAAAGTGTGTAATTAAGTTTTTTATCCGTAAAAATATCTTATCTTTACCCACAAAGTATCCTAAAAGTTTCCATGGAGTCTATTAATTCCATTAAAAATTGGGAATGTTTTGAGTTTCAGAATCGTAGAACTATTACAAAATTTAATGACTATGCCCCCGTTTGACTCCCATTACCTGAAAATGAAAATGGGGAGAATATTATTTTTTGGAAAAATGAGTAGTTGAAAAAGAAGGGAAAATTTTCGATTTACGTGTAATATAATTTTATAGAAGATTGTGTGGTTGAAAATAGGAGAAAGAAAAATATAATGTAATGTAATTTAATTTAATGGGGATCAAACGGGGAATATTGACATTTTTAATTGTTTAAGAACCATTTTGGATCATGCATAAAAGTTCAAGAACAAACCAAGACTTTAACCCAAAAAGTATGGTCCTGGTGAGTTATTTATTTCTGCTCTCAAACAAACAAAAGATGAAATGAAAACTCAGCCATGGAACAAATTCTTGACGTGCTGATAAGGTCAAAGAAATATTCGTCTTTTCTCTGAAAAAGATGTATCGATTGAACTAGTACTTCAATACTTTTATTTTTACAGATATCAACTAAGTATGATAAATAATTATTTCTCGGTCATCATTCATTTGATAACTTGAACCATTATTTAATAAATGTTCATCATAAGTCAGGCTCCCTAGAATTTCGTCCATTTTCCTTTTCGTTGGTAACACAAAAAATTCTAAAGTTTCTTCTGCACGTCAAACCCAATTTCAAGACTTACATTTTACTGAAAGAATAAAAATAAAAAAAATAAACTGAAGGAGCTATATATAAATTAAAAAAGTAAAAGGAAGGATCAAGAATTCTGCAGATTCTTAGAGAAGGAATGATGCACATAAAAGGAAAGTAATAATCTGAGAAAAGAAAATAATTACAATTTCAAGATCTTTATACATTAATGAGAAAGCGTTCGCATCTGTGGAAACTACACCTCATATGCAGATTCGTTGGCAAACAGGAGAGGACACTGGTGGGAATAGAATTTGTTCTTAATCTCAGTTTCTTTGTCGACTGCACATAAGCTGGCACAAAACTGAAACTGCTGAAATTCGGTCTGATTTCGACAAAATGCTAATTTTGTGGAAATGTATTATAATGTCGGATTAAAAAAAAAAAGAAAAAAAAAGGGAGCTGTGTGTTTCCAAGAATTATCTCCAAAACCATCAGAAAATAAAAAATAAAAAAAAATAAAAATTTAAATCCTTTCCTTCAACTCATTGAGGATACTGTAAAAGTGCAAAACTTTTGTTTCGAATTTTCCAAACAACCCCTTTACGAAAAAAATTAATAATCTAATATACCCTTATTTAAACATAACTAGAAATATGCAAAGTTTTAAATTTTGCAATCCAGATTCTGCTACTTTTCCTTACATTTAAAGTAATCCCAAAAGGTATTGTTTGAATATATTAATATTAATAGGTTAATGGCAGCCTCTCATCTTTCATGATTTCCCTTCTATATTATGTGTTACTCTTGACGAGAATCCTGAATATGTCAAGGATTTTCCTTCTTTAGCTTGTGTCACTCTAGATGAGAATCCTGATTATGTCAAGGATTCGGATTGTTGCATATCTCAAAAATAACAAAAATTTGACTCTCGAATAATCGAGATTCAGAATGCTATTTATGAACCCAACTGAAATTTACAGAAGGCTAACGCGTCTAAAGATGGAGTATTACCATTATCATTGTATCGAAATTGTACAAATTTTCATGCCAAAAAATTACAAAAATCCAGCATTATGGACCCGTAGCATAGGCATACGGGTTTCTTGTCATTTTCTCTATAAAAATGAAATAGTATAACATCACAATTGCAAGAAAACACATTGCACCACCTGGATACGCCTAACTCTGTGCACTAATTTTCAAAACGAAATACAATATTTCACCACTACATAACTCACAACTACAATTTGTGTCGTCCAACAACTAGAAAGACAGAAGAGTAGAGATGCAACTTTGCCTTCGAAGTTAACTGGACGAGTCGAACATTCTTCGACAACAAGGTTCTGTTCTACATAATTCCGTTCAGAGGGATCATATTATTCTGGTTTGTAATCCTTTCTACGGGAGAAATCACCTGAGGCATGGACATTCCGACGGACACAATGATCTCTGAAATAAATGGAAGAAAGTCAAATAAAGAGTGCTGTGCAATGTTATTTTAGGTTAACAAAATTGTCACCATCCCTTCCACACAAGGACCACCCATGCACACATAAAAAAAATAAAAATAAAAATAAAAATAAAAAATGAAAAAAGAAACTACAGTTGCCAGCAAAAATTCTGATCTTGGTTCGTATCAAAATGAATATAAAAATGCAAAGGAGAAGAAAGAAAATTCAAGAGCAATCAACCAGTAATTTCAAATAAGGAAAATATACAAGTTCCATCACATCTTATCTCGAAAATTTCAGAATAAAGGTGAATGAAACAATGAAGCACATAATGAAAATTAGATAACCCCACCTATGCCTTCACGGATGGACAAATTTGGCCTAATGATCTCCTTCGAGTTAACCAGAAATATGTCCCCTATGTACAAATGATTTGTTGGGACAAAAACAGAGCATAACTCCTCATCTCCATCATCTCTCTGTAACCAACAAAAGGAAATTAAACCAACGAAACCAGCACCAAATAAAGGCAGGTTTTTCTATTTGTTGAACAATTCAATCTTTTATGATCCAACAACTGAAAAGAAAAATGATTTACAGCAGCAAGTGTGCAAGTTGAATAATAAGACTCTCAGATACATATTTTCGAATTCAATCTTTTATGATCCCAACCACTGAATTGAAAGACAATTTACAGTAACAATTGTTAATCTATATCAAGTAAAATTATACGACTTTAATACATATTTCCAATTTCAGTCTGTTCTGGATGACAAGATCTGTAAGTGGCATCATTTGATACGAGGCAGGGACATCATTTATGTGTTAAATATTATGATAATATTTAAATATCAATTGTTTCTAGTTCAAGTTCCATATTACCAACGTGACTCTTTAAAAGGAAAATATGTTATCAAACGACTTCAGTTACCACAGTTCCATATTTAGCAACTTGACACTTTAAAAGGAAAATACGTTATCAAACGACTTCAGTTACCACGGGCCCACGGCAGAATTTAAATATAACTTGTCTACAAGAAATAGCAATTATGAAACAAACTCATTTGTTAACTATAAAACTATTTGCAACAATTCTGAATGACTGGCTATTGCAAGCACCTGAAGAACTACAGATGATGTAATAAAGCCAAACGCATACTCTCCAACGCGAGGATGACGAATGATGGCAACTTCCTTGAAAGCAGTGGTATTTTGATCTGAAATAAATGAAATGAAATTTTATCAATATGTATTCTACGTTTTCATGGATGCCCACATATATCCATGCAAGTCTTAAAATGCAATGGATAAAACTTCTGGAAGAATCTCATCTTGGTTCGAAAACACAACGAATGGTCGCAAATCTCAATATTATCAGGATGACAATCACAGTTACGAAGCACCTGCAGGGCCGGGGGGGTTCAGAAATTCATTATTATCAATTATCAGGATCCCTTCTTGAGATCACAAATGGAAATGATAACCTTCTATCTGCCAAAGGTTGCCTTGTCAAAGAATTGTGAATTTTTGAGCTCTTGCCACAGTCAGATTCCACAAAATGGAAAAACAAAGGCTCATATTGTATGACACGGAATTCATCATTGATTCAAGCACGAGTAAAAAACCAATGACAAGAAGACAGCTAACTATCTCACAGAAAAATGGTTCAAGTGCGCAGATGCTCCCACATATATAACCATGCATGATCCTGCCTGCTGGAAGGATCTTCCATGTTCCACGTGTTATGCACCATTTAAGGACTAGTTTGAAGCAACCGTTCAAGATTCTCCCTTGGACAATTTACTATAACTTATGTACTAGCTATAAAGTACTTCAAGGAGAGAAGTCAAAACACAAATGCAGTAAGTAGAAATAACGATGGAAATGTTGCCAGTGTACATAGTTGAGAAATTAACAGAAGATACATAATTAGCCTCTTTTCATCATGGTGTTCTATCTAAGGATCCTAGGAGAGAAGCATTGGCCCTTTGGTGTGCAACAGACATTTCAGCTTGCCTACTTTCTGTACTTCTCATCAAACAACTCATTTTTACAAAAATATCACAGAACACCGTAAAAATATGGTTTACCTGGAGAGATAGCAGAACTAATTTGTTTGGAAGCTGAGTATATGTGTTTGACAAAAGGCATTCTCTTTATAAACCATTCTCCTATCAAGAAAACTGTGGCACCCAACCACGAGGAAGCAAATATACCAACAAAGAAAATGAAGATTAATGATGTGATGAATCCAAGACCTGCACCATGAATAAGAAAACAATTACAACAGAAATAATGGCAGTTTCAAATAATCAGCAAAACCTAGCTATTGGTCAACCCATGCATTAACTTATGGTACCTATATAAATTCCAAATAAATAAATAAACAAATAAATTCAGAAATAACAAGAAAAAACAGTACTTCATATAGCAGCATATACAAGTATTTAGAATAAACAATTTGATCCAACAAGGCAGCAAACTCAGCTTTCAGTGAGAAGGGCTACGAGCTCAGCTAATATTGGCCTAAAAAGATAATTTATTTTAGTCATCCTGATAACTACCAGCATTCAGATGAGTCTAAGAAGAAAGCATTAGAAAAAAAATTTGCAAAACCCATCAAATGGTGTCGATGACTCACCAAATATGTCAATGCCGAGCCTTTCATATATCGGACCGAAGAAACCATCAACAAACTGAATAAACCACCAAGTGACGAAAAATGTAACAGCGACAGGAAAGAGAACAACACTGCATTAAGAAGTAACAACAGAATGTGGTACATTAGAAGTTAGGGAAAAAATAAAGGAAACAAAATACAGAAAGTTAACTTCCAAACATCCTCCAAGTTCATTACCATCCAGTCATAAACTTCTTTGACACCCAACTCTGAAGAACAGCATAGCAAGCCTGAACAAGTATCAGAATCAGCCATATAACATACTGTCACGGTTGTGCTGTAAAATTTCTACAGGAGCTCGATAGAGCAATTATTATAAAATATAAATCTTTGTCAACAGATATTTCAAAATTAAAACGAATCAATACATCAAACTTCAGATATGACTGATTATTTGTCAAAACTCTTCCATTAAAGCTATCAAACCTATGAAGCATGATTGACCAATTTACTGTAGTATTTATCACAATGCTCCAAACCTCCAATTTAAACAACCTCTAAGAGCATAAACATGTTAAAGTTGTAGATCCTAATTATTTAAGTTAGGAATTTCAAACTTGCAACTTCGGTTTTGCCCTAATTTTTTGTATAAAAAGGAAGCCGTCATTACGATTTATTTAGGGTTTGCTTGAGCCCCATTTTTTGGGAGAATAAATTTTGTAATAAAGATTTTTTGGAGAATAGGCGGTTAAAAAGTCGGAAAAAGTTTTGAATGTATGCTATTATTTTATTAGGAGAATATGTGATTAAAAATGAGTTTTTAAATAATGGGGCTTAATCATCATCAAAAGAGAGATAGAGGCACGTGTGCGAGGTTTCTCTTATTAACTTATTTTCATTATAGTAAAAATTACAACAGCAACAAAATATGACATAATCTCACATTGAGGCTACAAACTTATTTTTATCATAGTGAATTACAACAGCGACTAAATATGACGTAATCTTACATTGAAGAGAACATTTATAATTCTTTGGTGTTCTTCTATATCCTTTTTTCTTACTAAGATTATTTTGTTCTTGGAGGTATAGAATTAGAGTTTCTAATTTTAAACAAAATATTCAATGGCAATCTTTACTCAGTGGTTTAACTAAGATCAAATATATTGTACCATAATTATCAAACTTCTAAACTCCAATTTTTTTGCCATCTCCCAAATTCCAATGCTTAAAACCTCTTTAGCAACAGTTTGGGCTATAGGGTTCTCGATGATACATGTCATCACTTTATTTATCTCACAAATACAACTAAATAAGCATTAGACTATCACTCATAAGATTATTATCATTTCACTAAAGCTCTTGTCCGCGGGGGAGGAGCCAGGGGCCTGTTTGTTGAGTGCCAGGACCCCAAGCTTCTTCGATCTTTTTTCTTCTTTCATATTTTTTATTTATATTTGAAAATAACTAATAAAACAAAAGACTTTAGCTTATAGCATATAAACTCTGTGCAGCCTAATGGTAAAGATTTTACTCTTTATCTAGGAGAGAAAGCTTCTAATCCTCCCGACCACAATCTTAAATGTCCTTTTTCTTGGAAAATTTGTAACCTTAAGTTCCATTTGCTTATTTAGTCTTTTTTCAATAATTTCATAAACATTAGAGTTAAGTTTTCCTTGCATACAGCACAAGCTAATTTTTGGACACGTAAAGTTAGCAAGACAATATTGAATACACTTGATAGATAACTAATCTTTCAGATATAAATGTTTTATTCATTTTCAAATATAAAAGCTGTATTGTTTCTTCAAATGCCTCTCTCTTTGCTAGTTACCGCTACACTATTGACTGTCTACCATCCAACCATCAAATATTGTTGGCCTGGGACAAAAATTCCTGGCTTCGCCACTGCTTCTGGGCTCAGCGTAGTTCGTTCTTCTTTCTGTCTTTTGTAATTTTACTCTCTGAAGCGAGATGATGATTTGTCTACGTCATGGCTGACACGAGATAATGTTATGGCATAGTAATTGCTAATTAGATCAAGTGACATCAAAATGACTCTGGAATGTCAGGCCTTCTGCCTCTCCAGTAACCTTATCCACCCTTGGCAAAAAACACACATTTCATTTCCATCACTTTTTTTAAACATAATACAGCTTATATAGGCATGCGAATTATTCTCTAAAGACAGCATTTTTATTTACCCAATTGAACAAATTGTAGTAAAATGGGAATATTTACACCAAAATAGCTACCTAAAGAAAGATATTAAACTTATTGATGAATACGGTTCGTGCAATTTATCAAATCAATCCCCTCCCCTTTGCTCGAGCTATCTGAATAAAATTCTAGGGTAATAGTATCTTGCCTTCCTTTTCATTCATAAGATTTGTTCCCTGCAGCAAGAATAAATCGATCCATGTTGGCCACTGTTACTCAATGAAATTCCTTCTATGTAAAGCCAGGGCGAACACACCAACATACATGGGTAGTGTTAATGGCTTGGTAATACTATTTCAGCAAAGTAATTTGATTCACTGTGTATTGAATATTTTCCATTACTCCGTTTGCTCGCATAGATGGAATTTTCACACTTTTATAGTAATAAGTATTAATTTAAGTCCCATAATAATGTAATATGTAAAGTTTTAATTTTTCCCCACTCAACACTGAGTTTGCGCTTACACTGTTCATCTCTTACAAGAAAATATCCAAATCTTGACCAATTAATTCAGAAGCCCGTGCATTTCTAACAACTCACGAATCACGGCAGTTAACGGTTCCCCTCAGATCTTCGAAACAACGGAATTATTATAAACACACCAAATTACAAAATTCAAAAACAATATTAGAAAACTTATCCACAAAAAATTTAGGGGGGGAAAATCAGATTAATTTGTATATGCATTTGAGCGTGTAAAGGGAGAGTAAATTGTGATTATTCACCTCGCGAGTAGATGAATTATTGGCGGAATTAGGAACGGATTTGACGGGATCGTCGGGATCTTCAATTTCAATGTCTTGGGTTTGACGCGGCAAATTCGAAGAACTCGGCACTAAAGTTGACTCTTTCTTAGCACGATTATTACCATCCTCCGCCATTTCAATCTCACTTCGCAGAAAAAATCGTTGAATTCAAACAGAACAAGATTTGGGTAATTTCCAATAACCCTCAAATCGACGGGAAAAATAGCACTTTGCGCCATTTATATTAATAATTTAATGCCAAAATAATTATGAAAATTTGCATCAATGCTAATTAGTAATAAGTTGCTTTCTCTAATGTGCCCTTAATTTTTTATGCCTCATTGTTTCAGTTTAATTTACTGAGAAAAATATATTATATTGACGTCTTTTCATTCATTAACAAGAGTTGATGTGTTAAAGTATCAAACGTTTGGTACGAGATGTTAAACGATAACAATAATTCTCAATTTGTATTTTGTTATGGTGTATCAAAATTTTTTAGATATTTTTAAAAGTTGTGGTTTTGATTTTATTAAATTTGAATAATTTGTTTTTGTAAATCATAAAAGCAATTATTGACTAATTGTTTATTGACCTCGTTAACACATAATAGAGAGACAAGAAAGGTCATTAGTTGCTAATTGGTACAAAGGAGTGAAATTATATACTAAATTAAATTGTTGATTACAATAATTGAGTATTGCCTATTAAAACACGGAACTAATTATCATGTTCATTCAATTAAGTGCATTATAAAGATAAATAATTTGAGAAGTTAAATGAATGGTGCACAAGAATCAATTTTCAAGGTTTGAATGTTGAATTGAGAAACCACCTTTTTTTCATAAAAGTAATTTAGTGCTCTTAATCTAACAATCTAACCTTTTTGTCATTTAACTCCAAGGGATGGCACGATGTTGTCACAACCATCCCTATCCTTGTCCATAGATGATTTTTGGGCGACAATATGAGATGGAATTGGAGCAGTGCGGGGATTAAAATATTCATATTTATTATGTTTGTTTAATTTTTTTTCTAATATTTTATATACACTATTGAAGAAAAATAAAATTAAAATAATTTTGGATGGAGACAATGTTTCCTTCCTAATTGAGACAATGTGTATGCGTTGAAAGCTGGAAATTTTGCCTCCTTCTTTCTATATTTGATGTGGGCTTTTACTAAACTAGGCTTTGGGGAGAGAGAAAAAATATTGGGAAAAAATCATAGTTCAGTGATTGAGTATACAACGAAGCATATATCCGGTGTGCAGTTTGAAGATTCAAAAATCACACACACACACACACACACTGCTACAGCCGTTTCCTACAATTATGCATAGTTTCCTTCTATAGTAAGACTCCTTTTAGTACAAAATCGACATTCCAAAATTAAAAAATTCAACTGGCATTTGGAATTCTCACGGTGAAAACCTAATTCAGTCGTCGAAGATAACAAAGAAGGTAACAGTGTTTGCTGATTTCGATGACAAATTGAACAATTTCACCCACATTGGAACGTCGCATCACATACTTTCGAATTGTTTACAATAAATCGTATACAATCGCAGGAGAAAAGAATAATCATTGAATTTCATACTACGATGATCAATTGAGTAATACAATCACATTTGCAGCACAAGAAATCCAATGCTAGTCACAGAAGTGCTGATCATTGTTAGCAAATAGAATACAGGTAGGTGCTTCAATTTTGTCCGTTACAAGGTTAATCCAAGGCTAATCGACATATTACCTGATCTTTGTTTATGTGATGAATGCGCGTATTGTGAGTAATATAATATGAAGGCTACATATGAGATGTGTGATGAATGATTTGTGACGTATGTCTCAACCGTAGTGAAATTCATAATTTTCGTGATTGACTTCTTTAAGAATGTGACCTGAATGTAAGCACTCCAAAATATTACTGCACTCCGTATATAGGACTAATGCACATAATGTGAGTGTGAAAATTGTGTTACATGATCTGTGACCTATGTGATGAGCAGTCATATTCATTCCTAAAATGATTCTTTCAACAAATGTGACATGAAGGTAAACACTCCAAATAGTATGTGCACTCTGTATACGTGACTGATGTTCATTCTTTGTGTATAAAAATTGTGACGTCTAACACATGATCTATATTTCAATCATGTATTCATTCGTGACTTTTTGAAAAATGTGCATGCCTATTATTTTAGGAGTTCATATACAAAATGTGTCAATCGTTATACTTTCATCACAACACCACTATTAAATTTAAATTTAATTTGTAGAAATGGTATATTTGCATGTTTGCATGTTGCATGCATCTCAAACTTCTTTAACGTTGATAGATCGAAATTGCAGACATGTAAACCTTGTGGACACAGTTATGAAAGAATTCGATTTGGATCCTATAAAGGTAGCAGTCTCGTTGAAGTACGTATTGGCTGAAGATTTGCCTCCATTCAGGATTAGAAATGATGGCAATGTGCTCTCTTACATCGTGCTGAAGGATATGGAGTGCGAACCTGCTAAATATCCATTAATCATTGATGTTACGGAGGTAGAGGTAGATAAACCATCTATGACGCTGCCAGTTAATTCACATGTTGTTGGTGAGCTATGTATGTTGTAGGATATGGCATCAGACATTTGCGACTGCGAAGCAGCAATTGAAAATATGGGTCACATATGTGACAACGAAATCACAGTTATTTATGTTGTAGATGTTAGAGAGGTCAAAGAAGAAAGGGTCTTCTATGATAAAGATATTTTAAAAGTAAGCTTGTCATTTTTTATCATACAGAATATGTTTGAGTTTATGGTTTAATGATTAGACAAGAGAGAATATGTTGTGAGGTGTTCACAAAACAGATGTAGTTGGATATGTAGAGCGTCGAAATGGGGTAAAACGAAACTATTTAAGATTCAAAAGATTGGTAGTCACACATGTGCATCAAATATAGTGTTAGGGGTCACACAAGCAACTATCAGCTACAGTTGTGTCCTCTAGCATCAAGTACAAGTATACGTCAACCCATACTATATACACACCAAATGATATATGCAGTAATATGTTGCATACTTATGGGGTCTATTTAAATTATTCGAAAGTGTGGAGATCTCGCGAGCAAACCTTGAAGATGATAAGGGGTGATCCGACCAATTTGTTTGGTAAGAGACCAATCTTTTTCTATATGTTTCGACAAAAGAATCCTGGTACAGTCATAAACTTGGAGGTTAACAGTCACAATCGCATCAAGTATTGCTTTATGACACTTGGTGCATCAATACGCGATCGAAAACATTGTAGACCAGTAATTGTGGTTGACGATACATACTTGAATGGTCACTACGGAGGTACAATTTTCACAGTGTGTACACAAGATGCAAGTAACAGTATATTCGTTCTTGCTTTTGAAATGGGAATAATGAGAACGACAAATCTTGGAGGTGGTTCTTAAAAAACTTGAATAATGCGCACGGGAACAGAGAAGGACTGTGTTTTGTCTCAAATCGGCATAATAGTATAAATAATACAATAGATCATGTGTATCTAGGAACCTATCATGGTATATGTTTGTATCATTTACTCCAGAACTTAAAGTCACATTATGAAAAATCTGGACAAAATATTACACAAGCTTTCAATTCAATTGTCAGATCTTACACATTGGAAGAGTTCAAATATAACATGCGACGATTGGACATAATGAATCAAAAGATTAGCGCTTACCTGGTACCGTAGTACTTGCATGTACTATTTCACAAAAACATTGGAATGGTTACATATGTTAGTTATATGATAATCGCCAATACAATACATGCTTGCATGCTGATGTTGGACTTGAAAAGTGGTCGCGAATCCATATGCCAGAAAATAGGTATTCAACAATGACATCAAATATCGTAGAATCAGTCAATGCAGTCACAAAGGTGGCAAAAAATTACCCCATTGTATCCTTGATAGAGTTATTGCGACAAACTATACAAAACTGGTTTTGTAAACACAGAGACAATAGGCATGGGACTTTCACAAAGTTGACAAACAAATATGACAACGAGATGAGAAAAATGAGTATATATTTAAAGAACTTGAGGGCAAGTTTTTATTTTGACACTCACAATGACTCATGTGACCTCAACATGAATAAATGTGACCTAAAATGCATATTTGTGATAACATATATTTGTATATTTGTGCGCCTCTTATATTTATGACTGACCATACAATTTTGTGACATTATTTGTGCAACTGTGACCTGCAAAATGTATATTTGTGACATACACCTCAAGACTGTGGTTTGGTAGATACTTGTTTGAATTGACATAATATGTGCATTGATTATATTCTCACAAGTTTCTTTTTCCAACCAGTCAGTGTTTTTTGTTAACAGTGATAAGTTAACTTTCATTGTTAATATTGAGAAATATGCACGCATGTGCAGGATGCTACAAGTTGATTTGTTACCATTTCCACACGCATTGGCTGTGATTGCAAATACAAAAAAGGATCCATATACTTTCTTTCTCATTATTACACACGAGATGTATACTTGAACGTATGCGAAGATTCTATATATCCTGTTGGAAATCCAACCGAATGGACAATGCCTTGAGAAGTACCACATGAAATTGTGTTAGCTCTTAATCAGAAACGGAGATGTGGAAGGCCAACTGAGAAAAAGAAGAGATCATCCAGAGAAGAAAAATCAACAGTGAAATGTGGATGCTGTGGAGAATATGGTCACAACCGTAGGAAATACTCTAATATGATCCCATTGAGCTAATATCACATTGCAATAGCACATGATATAGATAGGTCAAATTATTTCATCATCTTGTATTTGAAACATTTATTTGTATGACAAGGCTGACATTATATGTGACCATTATTTTTTTCAATTGTGCAAAATTTATTTGAATCTAAATATTTATTTGTTAATAAATTCATTCACACATGGTCAATGTTATGTAATCTACATGGCTGTAAATACATATTCCACACACTAGGAACTGTGACCTGATTTCAAACACATGACTTTTGTTATTGCAATATGTGGTCATTGTTGATTCAAAACTATGACCTGAGGAGTTATGCACATGCATGTGATCAAATTTCAAAGACATGTTACCAATGCTTCGAAAAAATTGACATGTGGCTTAAAGAACAGTTCTATGACGAAATGTGAAGAACATGATACCTAAAACATAGTGATGTGTTACCAATGATGAAAAGAAAGATTACATGTAATTTTCAAAAAACAATTCTGTGACATAATGTGAAGGACGTGTAACCTAAAACAAAGTTATTTGTAACCAATGATGAAAAAATGATCGCATTTGACTTCCAAAAACAATTCTGTGCCGTAAAAGTTTGTGATATGTGACCAATGATTACAATAATTTTTTCTGCATAGTCACTGTGATGGTTGTTCAAAACCATGCGATCACATCGCTCAACCAACCGAGGCCATTTTCTAACTAACCATGCGACCCCATGGATTTACGCCATACGGTCGCATGGTATAAGTTCAGCGACCGTTGGAGTCGGTTTGGGTGGTTTTTTGGCAGTCTTTCACTTAATTTTGGCACCACTTCGTGAAACTATGTTGCATGGCTATAAATAGGTGGTTTTTTATCATCAAAATAGTATGAAAAATACTTATAAATTACATGTTTATAAGATCAAACAAGAGAGAGAGAAAAGAAAAACCATCTTCTTCCATCTTCTTCCATCTTCATCCATATTTTTTTTCCATTATGTTCTTGAGTTCTTAGAGAATCAAACAAGTTGCTTAGTGTTTGAATCTCTACAAGACTTGATCAATCCTTCAAACCTTTTGTCGGATGACCCTTTAAGCACCATGATCTTTTCTAGTGGGGGCAAAATTCGTTTGAGGACAACGATCACATATCGTGTTTGAGCCTTCCTACATTTGTTTTATATACTTCATCTTCTAATTTTCTGTCAATCTACATTTGTAATTCGTTTTCTAACCCCTTGGTGGAAAAATTATTTCTATCAATCTCAAACGAATTTTGAAGTTGCTAAGAAGAACGAAACTACAATGACAACCATAAAACTTATGAATCAAGACTTGGTGCGATTGGATAGGTTTGATGGCACAAATTTCACACGTTGACAAGAAAAATTGAAGTTTCTTCTTACTGCATTGAATATCTTCTATATCTTAGATCCCAAGTTGACGCCTCTACCGAAACCCACAAATGGAGAAACCGAAGCAGTTAGGCTAAAAGACAAAAAAGGCAAGAGGATTGATTAATTTGCAACGGTCACATTTTGAATGCACTATCAGATCGTCTATATGATTTATACACAAATACTACGTCGGCAAAGGAAATTTGGAATGCTTTGGAGAGTAAGTATAAAGCGGAAGAAGAAGGTACTAAGAAATTTTTAATTTCAAAGTACTTTGATTTTAAATTTTTAGATAATATTCCCCTTCTTCCCCAAATACATGAGTTACAAGTTATTGTCGACAAATTAAAAGCAATAAAGATTGAAATTTCGGAGACCTTTCAAGTGGAGGCTATAATTGCTAAACTCCCGGGGGCTTGGAAAGGATACCGGAAGAAAATAATGCATAGTTCCGAAGATTATTCTTTGGAACAATTACAAAAACATTTTTGGATTGAAGAAGAATCCAGATTGCGTGATAGAAGTAAAAATTCTTCGGAAGGAACTTCTAAAGCCAATGCCATTCAGAAATCTGAACCGCCTACAAAGTCCTACAAAAGGAAGCTTTCAATGAACTTTAACAAGTCCAAGGAGAAGACTAAAGGAGGATGCTTTGTGTGTGGTAAATCTGGACACTATGCAAAGGATTGTAAACACGGGAAAAGAAACAACTCCAAAGGTAAAATAAACTTTATTCAAAAAGAAAAGATTGTGGCCATCGTAAGTGAAATAAATGCAATCAATGGAAAGGTTCCCTGGTGGTGGTATGATACTTGTACTATAGTGCATGTATCATATGATAAATCTTTATTCAAAACCTATCAAGAAGTAGAAAGAGATCAAGAGATTCAAATGGCCAACGAAGTTCGGTCCAAAGTAATTGGCAAGGGAAATGTTGATATTATCTTCACTTACGGGAAAACCATTATCCTTAATAATGTACTACATGTTCTAGAAATGAATAGGAACTTGGTTAGTGGAAATCAAGTGACGAAAAATGTAACAGCGACAGGAAAGAGAACAACACTGCATTAAGAAGTAACAACAGAATGTGGTACATTAGAAGTTAGGGAAAAAATAAAGGAAACAAAATACAGAAAGTTAACTTCCAAACATCCTCCAAGTTCATTACCATCCAGTCATAAACTTCTTTGACACCCAACTCTGAAGAACAGCATAGCAAGCCTGAACAAGTATCAGAATCAGCCATATAACATACTGTCACGGTTGTGCTGTAAAATTTCTACAGGAGCTCGATAGAGCAATTATTATAAAATATAAATCTTTGTCAACAGATATTTCAAAATTAAAACGAATCAATACATCAAACTTCAGATATGACTGATTATTTGTCAAAACTCTTCCATTAAAGCTATCAAACCTATGAAGCATGATTGACCAATTTACTGTAGTATTTATCACAATGCTCCAAACCTCCAATTTAAACAACCTCTAAGAGCATAAACATGTTAAAGTTGTAGATCCTAATTATTTAAGTTAGGAATTTCAAACTTGCAACTTCGGTTTTGCCCTAATTTTTTGTATAAAAAGGAAGCCGTCATTACGATTTATTTAGGGTTTGCTTGAGCCCCATTTTTTGGGAGAATAAATTTTGTAATAAAGATTTTTTGGAGAATAGGCGGTTAAAAAGTCGGAAAAAGTTTTGAATGTATGCTATTATTTTATTAGGAGAATATGTGATTAAAAATGAGTTTTTAAATAATGGGGCTTAATCATCATCAAAAGAGAGATAGAGGCACGTGTGCGAGGTTTCTCTTATTAACTTATTTTCATTATAGTAAAAATTACAACAGCAACAAAATATGACATAATCTCACATTGAGGCTACAAACTTATTTTTATCATAGTGAATTACAACAGCGACTAAATATGACGTAATCTTACATTGAAGAGAACATTTATAATTCTTTGGTGTTCTTCTATATCCTTTTTTCTTACTAAGATTATTTTGTTCTTGGAGGTATAGAATTAGAGTTTCTAATTTTAAACAAAATATTCAATGGCAATCTTTACTCAGTGGTTTAACTAAGATCAAATATATTGTACCATAATTATCAAACTTCTAAACTCCAATTTTTTTGCCATCTCCCAAATTCCAATGCTTAAAACCTCTTTAGCAACAGTTTGGGCTATAGGGTTCTCGATGATACATGTCATCACTTTATTTATCTCACAAATACAACTAAATAAGCATTAGACTATCACTCATAAGATTATTATCATTTCACTAAAGCTCTTGTCGGCGGGGGAGGAGCCAGGGGCCTGTTTGTTGAGTGCCAGGACCCCAAGCTTCTTCGATCTTTTTTCTTCTTTCATATTTTTTATTTATATTTGAAAATAACTAATAAAACAAAAGACTTTAGCTTATAGCATATAAACTCTGTGCAGCCTAATGGTAAAGATTTTACTCTTTATCTAGGAGAGAAAGCTTCTAATCCTCCCGACCACAATCTTAAATGTCCTTTTTCTTGGAAAATTTGTAACCTTAAGTTCCATTTGCTTATTTAGTCTTTTTTCAATAATTTCATAAACATTAGAGTTAAGTTTTCCTTGCATACAGCACAAGCTAATTTTTGGACACGTAAAGTTAGCAAGACAATATTGAATACACTTGATAGATAACTAATCTTTCAGATATAAATGTTTTATTCATTTTCAAATATAAAAGCTGTATTGTTTCTTCAAATGCCTCTCTCTTTGCTAGTTACCGCTACACTATTGACTGTCTACCATCCAACCATCAAATATTGTTGGCCTGGGACAAAAATTCCTGGCTTCGCCACTGCTTCTGGGCTCAGCGTAGTTCGTTCTTCTTTCTGTCTTTTGTAATTTTACTCTCTGAAGCGAGATGATGATTTGTCTACGTCATGGCTGACACGAGATAATGTTATGGCATAGTAATTGCTAATTAGATCAAGTGACATCAAAATGACTCTGGAATGTCAGGCCTTCTGCCTCTCCAGTAACCTTATCCACCCTTGGCAAAAAACACACATTTCATTTCCATCACTTTTTTTAAACATAATACAGCTTATATAGGCATGCGAATTATTCTCTAAAGACAGCATTTTTATTTACCCAATTGAACAAATTGTAGTAAAATGGGAATATTTACACCAAAATAGCTACCTAAAGAAAGATATTAAACTTATTGATGAATACGGTTCGTGCAATTTATCAAATCAATCCCCTCCCCTTTGCTCGAGCTATCTGAATAAAATTCTAGGGTAATAGTATCTTGCCTTCCTTTTCATTCATAAGATTTGTTCCCTGCAGCAAGAATAAATCGATCCATGTTGGCCACTGTTACTCAATGAAATTCCTTCTATGTAAAGCCAGGGCGAACACACCAACATACATGGGTAGTGTTAATGGCTTGGTAATACTATTTCAGCAAAGTAATTTGATTCACTGTGTATTGAATATTTTCCATTACTCCGTTTGCTCGCATAGATGGAATTTTCACACTTTTATAGTAATAAGTATTAATTTAAGTCCCATAATAATGTAATATGTAAAGTTTTAATTTTTCCCCACTCAACACTGAGTTTGCGCTTACACTGTTCATCTCTTACAAGAAAATATCCAAATCTTGACCAATTAATTCAGAAGCCCGTGCATTTCTAACAACTCACGAATCACGGCAGTTAACGGTTCCCCTCAGATCTTCGAAACAACGGAATTATTATAAACACACCAAATTACAAAATTCAAAAACAATATTAGAAAACTTATCCACAAAAAATTTAGGGGGGGAAAATCAGATTAATTTGTATATGCATTTGAGCGTGTAAAGGGAGAGTAAATTGTGATTATTCACCTCGCGAGTAGATGAATTATTGGCGGAATTAGGAACGGATTTGACGGGATCGTCGGGATCTTCAATTTCAATGTCTTGGGTTTGACGCGGCAAATTCGAAGAACTCGGCACTAAAGTTGACTCTTTCTTAGCACGATTATTACCATCCTCCGCCATTTCAATCTCACTTCGCAGAAAAAATCGTTGAATTCAAACAGAACAAGATTTGGGTAATTTCCAATAACCCTCAAATCGACGGGAAAAATAGCACTTTGCGCCATTTATATTAATAATTTAATGCCAAAATAATTATGAAAATTTGCATCAATGCTAATTAGTAATAAGTTGCTTTCTCTAATGTGCCCTTAATTTTTTATGCCTCATTGTTTCAGTTTAGCCCCTGTTTGGCCCCCATTACAGGGAAAATTTAATGTATAGAATAGTGTTTTTTGAAAAATGAGTGGTTGAAAAAGAAAGAAAAATTTTCGATTTATGTGTAATATTATTTTATGAAAGATTGTGTGGTTGAAAATAGGAGAGAGAAAAATAGAATGTAATGTAATGTAATGTAATGAAAATCAAACAGGGGCTTAATTTACTGAGAAAAATATATTATATTGACGTCTTTTCATTCATTAACAAGAGTTGATGTGTTAAAGTATCAAACGTTTGGTACGAGATGTTAAACGATAACAATAATTCTCAATTTGTATTTTGTTATGGTGTATCAAAATTTTTTAGATATTTTTAAAAGTTGTGGTTTTGATTTTATTAAATTTGAATAATTTGTTTTTGTAAATCATAAAAGCAATTATTGACTAATTGTTTATTGACCTCGTTAACACATAATAGAGAGACAAGAAAGGTCATTAGTTGCTAATTGGTACAAAGGAGTGAAATTATATACTAAATTAAATTGTTGATTACAATAATTGAGTATTGCCTATTAAAACACGGAACTAATTATCATGTTCATTCAATTAAGTGCATTATAAAGATAAATAATTTGAGAAGTTAAATGAATGGTGCACAAGAATCAATTTTCAAGGTTTGAATGTTGAATTGAGAAACCACCTTTTTTTCATAAAAGTAATTTAGTGCTCTTAATCTAACAATCTAACCTTTTTGTCATTTAACTCCAAGGGATGGCACGATGTTGTCACAACCATCCCTATCCTTGTCCATAGATGATTTTTGGGCGACAATATGAGATGGAATTGGAGCAGTGCGGGGATTAAAATATTCATATTTATTATGTTTGTTTAATTTTTTTTCTAATATTTTATATACACTATTGAAGAAAAATAAAATTAAAATAATTTTGGATGGAGACAATGTTTCCTTCCTAATTGAGACAATGTGTATGCGTTGAAAGCTGGAAATTTTGCCTCCTTCTTTCTATATTTGATGTGGGCTTTTACTAAACTAGGCTTTGGGGAGAGAGAAAAAATATTGGGAAAAAATCATAGTTCAGTGATTGAGTATACAACGAAGCATATATCCGGTGTACAGTTTGAAGATTCAAAAATCACACACACACACACACACACTGCTACAGCCGTTTCCTACAATTATGCATAGTTTCCTTCTATAGTAAGACTCCTTTTAGTACAAAATCGACATTCCAAAATTAAAAAATTCAGCTGGCATTTGGAATTCTCACGGTGAAAACCTAATTCAGTCGTCGAAGATAACAAAGAAGGTAACAGTGTTTGCTGATTTCGATGACAAATTGAACAATTTCACCCACATTGGAACGTCGCATCACATACTTTCGAATTGTTTACAATAAATCGTATACAATCGCAGGAGAAAAGAATAATCATTGAATTTCATACTACGATGATCAATTGAGTAATACAATCACATTTGCAGCACAAGAAATCCAATGCTAGTCACAGAAGTGCTGATCATTGTTAGCAAATAGAATACAGGTAGGTGCTTCAATTTTGTCCGTTACAAGGTTAATCCAAGGCTAATCGACATATTACCTGATCTTTGTTTATGTGATGAATGCGCGTATTGTGAGTAATATAATATGAAGGCTACATATGAGATGTGTGATGAATGATTTGTGACGTATGTCTCAACCATAGTGAAATTCATAATTTTCGTGATTGACTTCTTTAAGAATGTGACCTGAATGTAAGCACTCCAAAATATTACTGCACTCCGTATATAGGACTAATGCACATAATGTGAGTGTGAAAATTGTGTTACATGATCTGTGACCTATGTGATGAGCAGTCATATTCATTCCTAAAATGATTCTTTCAACAAATGTGACATGAAGGTAAACACTCCAAATAGTATGTGCACTCTGTATACGTGACTGATGTTCATTCTTTGTGTATAAAAATTGTGACGTCTAACACATGATCTATATTTCAATCATGTATTCATTCGTGACTTTTTGAAAAATGTGCATGCCTATTATTTTAGGAGTTCATATACAAAATGTGTCAATCGTTATACTTTCATCACAACACCACTATTAAATTTAAATTTAATTTGTAGAAATGGTATATTTGCATGTTTGCATGTTGCATGCATCTCAAACTTCTTTAACGTTGATAGATCGAAATTGCAGACATGTAAACCTTGTGGACACAGTTATGAAAGAATTCGATTTGGATCCTATAAAGGTAGCAGTCTCGTTGAAGTACGTATTGGCTGAAGATTTGCCTCCATTCAGGATTAGAAATGATGGCAATGTGCTCTCTTACATCGTGCTGAAGGATATGGAGTGCGAACCTGCTAAATATCCATTAATCATTGATGTTACGGAGGTAGAGGTAGATAAACCATCTATGACGCTGCCAGTTAATTCACATGTTGTTGGTGAGCTATGTATGTTGTAGGATATGGCATCAGACATTTGCGACTGCGAAGCAGCAATTGAAAATATGGGTCACATATGTGACAACGAAATCACAGTTATTTATGTTGTAGATGTTAGAGAGGTCAAAGAAGAAAGGGTCTTCTATGATAAAGATATTTTAAAAGTAAGCTTGTCATTTTTTATCATACAGAATATGTTTGAGTTTATGGTTTAATGATTAGACAAGAGAGAATATGTTGTGAGGTGTTCACAAAACAGATGTAGTTGGATATGTAGAGCGTCGAAATGGGGTAAAACGAAACTATTTAAGATTCAAAAGATTGGTAGTCACACATGTGCATCAAATATAGTGTTAGGGGTCACACAAGCAACTATCAGCTACAGTTGTGTCCTCTAGCATCAAGTACAAGTATACGTCAACCCATACTATATACACACCAAATGATATATGCAGTAATATGTTGCATACTTATGGGGTCTATTTAAATTATTCGAAAGTGTGGAGATCTCGCGAGCAAACCTTGAAGATGATAAGGGGTGATCCGACCAATTTGTTTGGTAAGAGACCAATCTTTTTCTATATGTTTCGACAAAAGAATCCTGGTACAGTCATAAACTTGGAGGTTAACAGTCACAATCGCATCAAGTATTGCTTTATGACACTTGGTGCATCAATACGCGATCGAAAACATTGTAGACCAGTAATTGTGGTTGACGATACATACTTGAATGGTCACTACGGAGGTACAATTTTCACAGTGTGTACACAAGATGCAAGTAACAGTATATTCGTTCTTGCTTTTGAAATGGGAATAATGAGAACGACAAATCTTGGAGGTGGTTCTTAAAAAACTTGAATAATGCGCACGGGAACAGAGAAGGACTGTGTTTTGTCTCAAATCGGCATAATAGTATAAATAATACAATAGATCATGTGTATCTAGGAACCTATCATGGTATATGTTTGTATCATTTACTCCAGAACTTAAAGTCACATTATGAAAAATCTGGACAAAATATTACACAAGCTTTCAATTCAATTGTCAGATCTTACACATTGGAAGAGTTCAAATATAACATGCGACGATTGGACATAATGAATCAGAAGATTAGCGCTTACCTGGTACCGAAGTACTTGCATGTACTATTTCACAAAACATTGGAATGGTTACATATGTTAGTTATATGATAATCGCCAATACAATACATGCTTGCATGCTGATGTTGGACTTGAAAAGTGGTCGCGAATCCATATGCCAGAAAATAGGTATTCAACAATGACATCAAATATCGTAGAATCAGTCAATGCAGTCACAAAGGTGGCAAAAAATTACCCCATTGTATCCTTGATAGAGTTATTGCGACAAACTATACAAAACTGGTTTTGTAAACACAGAGACAATAGGCATGGGACTTTCACAAAGTTGACAAACAAATATGACAACGAGATGAGAAAAATGAGTATATATTTAAAGAACTTGAGGGCAAGTTTTTATTTTGACACTCACAATGACTCATGTGACCTCAACATGAATAAATGTGACCTAAAATGCATATTTGTGATAACATATATTTGTATATTTGTGCGCCTCTTATATTTATGACTGACCATACAATTTTGTGACATTATTTGTGCAACTGTGACCTGCAAAATGTATATTTGTGACATACACCTCAAGACTGTGGTTTGGTAGATACTTGTTTGAATTGACATAATATGTGCATTGATTATATTCTCACAAGTTTCTTTTTCCAACCAGTCAGTGTTTTTTGTTAACAGTGATAAGTTAACTTTCATTGTTAATATTGAGAAATATGCACGCATGTGCAGGATGCTACAAGTTGATTTGTTACCATTTCCACACGCATTGGCTGTGATTGCAAATACAAAAAAGGATCCATATACTTTCTTTCTCATTATTACACACGAGATGTATACTTGAACGTATGCGAAGATTCTATATATCCTGTTGGAAATCCAACCGAATGGACAATGCCTTGAGAAGTACCACATGAAATTGTGTTAGCTCTTAACCAGAAACGGAGATGTGGAAGGCCAACTGAGAAAAAGAAGAGATCATCCAGAGAAGAAAAATCAACAGTGAAATGTGGATGCTGTGGAGAATATGGTCACAACCGTAGGAAATACTCTAATATGATCCCATTGAGCTAATATCACATTGCAATAGCACATGATATAGATAGGTCAAATTATTTCATCATCTTGTATTTGAAACATTTATTTGTATGACAAGGCTGACATTATATGTGACCATTATTTTTTTCAATTGTGCAAAATTTATTTGAATCTAAATATTTATTTGTTAATAAATTCATTCACACATGGTCAATGTTATGTAATCTACATGGCTGTAAATACATATTCCACACACTAGGAACTGTGACCTGATTTCAAACACATGACTTTTGTTATTGCAATATGTGGTCATT